TACAGTATAACTTATTGCATGACACCAAATTAAATACTGTGACAATTTGTTTTCTATTTAAATATCCCTGGATTTCTGAAAACAAAATGTATATGTACGTTTAAAACATATTTTTATCTCTTTTTTGTCAAAGGTAATGACAGGGATGACGATATGTTTTATACAGAGATTTTAGTTTTAAAAACCAACGGCATGTTATGTTGCAATAGAGCTTACTAAAATCCTTTACAGGACGATCTATTTTTGGGAAGCTTTTTTCCTGTTAATGAAATTAATTTAAGTAATTTTTGTTTCGATGCTTATTGGGTTTTTTCATTAATATAAAATATAATACCGCTAGTCGCGGTGCTGTGTTGCAAGTTTCACGACACTTGTGCTCCGTCGTCACTTGATATCCTTGACAAAAGCGAAGAATTTTCGAATGTATAATGCAATATATTATTTATTACAAACATATGTATAAATATATGAATACCTTTGATTTAATCTTTAAGAATCTCTGTTTATAAAATGTGTTTTATTTCGTACTAGCTGTGACCCGTGACTCCATCCACGCATAAAAACAAACTTAATTAGAATCCTATGTGTTCTTTCAGACTATTCTTCGCTTATGACAAATTTGATAGAGATCCAAAAAGCCGTTTTGGATATACCCTCTAATAACATCCATCCATTTAAACATTCGCAATTATAATATTAGTAAGAAGTGAGATAGATATTTACTTTTCGATTAAATTTATTAAAAAAAGGCCCGTTAATTAAGTAGAAGGTAAAATTTAACGATCGACCTTCACTTGTATAAAAAACGCTTTTCTGCCACCAAAGTTTCACTTTTAACACGTATCAAGTACATTTTACGCGGTCGCGTGTTACGATTCAATTATGTTAACAATTATCCCAAACCGGATTACATTTAAATATAGTTGAATGAATTGATATATGAAGATATTGATATTGAGAATACAAGATGTCTGGAAATGTAGAACAAAAGATCATAAAATTATTTGAATAAAATATGATGAAATTACAAATTTTAGTGCGACTTATAGAGTTCACTGTAATACTTAAGATTTAGTCTCGTACTCAGAGTCAATGATTACTAAGTCTGCAAGATAAAAGACATCTTAAATCATTTAACGAGTGTGGTAGTAGCACTAATTTCTATTAGAAATAATTTAAAACATACTCTAAAATACGAGTTCTCTAATGACACTTGTATTATAGTAATCAAGCTAGAAATTTATTTTGAGGTATAATATCTAAATGTAGTTATTTAGGTGCAGTAGTTGTATAAAAACTCGCATATTTTTGTCACTTTGCCGCAGACAGGTGGCGTTGGTTGCGACACGTATGGTGCAACATTCGGTGCGAGTGGTCACCAGCTCGTATTAAGGACACGGTTGTATAATTTCGCGTCTTACGTCGCCAGACAAACTTCATAATAATTTCGATAAGTTTTTGTGGTTGATTTAGCTTAGATATAAGAGCCAAAGTATCCAAAACAAGTAAGTTAAAAAAACAAAGAAATAATTGGAAGAATAAATGTCTAAAAAAACTAAATTTGGTGTTATTTTTTCTAGTTCTAAACCATCCAAGTTTGATATTTTAAAAGTCTTAGCTAATTGATTGGGATTTAATGTGACGTAAGAGTTTACTTGTTTATAAAATAAACAATGTGAAGGATACAGCTGCACTTATTTAAAAAAAATCGTAAAAGAAACAAACTACATTTAATAAACAAAGTAAGTTAAATATACTAACTTATTATAGATTGACCTTGCATGTAATTATCAGCATGCGACCTTACACATTAGCAATTTAAAAACAAATTAGAAATGTTGTCAAAACTGATTTATGCTCGCACCTCTTTTGATACGCTCTTCTAATGCGAAAACTCACGATTGATCTTTGAACTTTTATTAAAAATATCAAGGCTTTATTTTTAACTTAATTAGAAAATAATTATTTATTTATAGCGAAAGCAAATTTAAGCACATAGTCGAATGAATCATTTTTTCGATAGTAATACATAATGAATAAAAATTAAAATTAAAAAAAAAATCATATACAAGTACAAAATATTTCCCAAAATACCTAACACAAACACAATTATTTTTTAAAAATAATATAGTGTAAAATATCTATTAGCTTCACGGTAAAACGGTTGCCAAATTGGATTCAATTATTAAAAGTGAAATTACTAAATATCTGCCAATCCCTTTAGTAAGAACACGCGTGAAGTGCAAAAATAAATCACAGTAATAAAGGTATGCTTGAAGCAAAACTCGCCGATCGTATTATAAATGATGCTTCTTGATTTGAAAAGATTACTCGTGAAAAATAATTTTAAATGAAGGTGACCTGCGCTGGATTCAATCTGGCTAAAGCCGTCCCTTGGACAGCCATTGTCACTTAGGATCAACGCCCCCAATGATTTATTATACCGATTTTTTCACTTATGTTTTGAAATTCGGTCATTATTAATTCTAAAGAAACAGACGCAAAAAATCTATACACTTTGGGAATGCAATCGATGTGAATGCTAAGACAAAATTAAAATTTAAAGTCATTAAAATTAGATTTATTCGCTATTTTATTTGCTAATTAATAAAATGTACTAAGCCAATATTTTAAAACACTTACAGCTTCTCAAATAAAGTTTACAAAATTATTAATTCCTTTTTTTTAATATTAGCAGATTTTTTTGTAAATTTACTAATATTTCTTTTACCATTCCAACTAAGCTCTAGGCTCATACTAGGATATGGTTTACGACAAAAGTCGAATGGCGGGATTCGAACTCCCAATCTCGTGATCGGAAATCCGCACCCTTAACCATTAGGCTATTGAAGCTTTTAAATTTAAATTGAATTCATAATTATAACATAAGAATTCTGATATTATTCCAAAGTTGTGGTCAAACATTAAATTGTCTAGATGAAATATTTTCCGGACAATTTGCGGTGCGGTAACACGACCATTGTTATTCCTCGGTCACAATCGAGATCAAATGGTCAGATATTAATTGCCTTCAACCCAATACAATGAAAACTTCGAATGTTCTGTAAGTTTAATGATTTGTAGACTCTCACTAAGGTACTATGAGTTATCCTTAGTGTAGATTTATAACACTAAACGAGTTGCAATCAACAAAAAAGGCGCAGTTAGTATTGGAATTTTAGTTGCATTTGTTTTTCTTTATTAATTGAGCTTCCTTGATTACGTTTCTTACTAATATTTTAAATATGAATTTTTAGATGGATGGATGAATGGATGTTTGTTTGAAGGTATCTCCAGAAAGACTAAACGGACCTATATAGCCTCGGATTGCCTGGAAGAACACATAGGCTGCAAAGTAAGTTTTCTTATAGTTCCGCGTGAACAGAGTCGCAGTCGACAGCTAGTAAAATAATCATTTCAATTAGGTCATGGGTAAAATATAACAAATTTATAGATTAACATGTTGGTGGGACTGTCCAACTCACAGCTTAGTTTTCAATAGAAATCAAGTTAACGATGTATGTTGCCAATATTAAATACAGTGTTGGTCAGGTCAACTGCACTTTATCGTATATTCCCACGTCGTTAATGTGGTCGGAAACTGTTACAAAAACGTAGCAGTAGACAAAGGCAACTAAAACTTACGGACTATAACTGTGTGACACTAATGTCGATTGAATTATACTAGAGAACTAGCTTTGTCTCTTGTTTTCAAGTGTCGTAGTAAAATTTTGTAATACTACAGTTATTTTCCAATGACGAAACACTTATATTAAATATCATGTTACTATACTTTTAAATAAAAGAATAACAGGGACAACTATATTATACTTATTTTGGAAGTAAAAACACGCAGTAAGATTAGTTATTTCAAACGCTACGTTTGTCCGTTGACGGAAAGTTACAAAGCGTTTATAATATAACCTCTATTAAAATGTTAATCTACGTTTTAAATTTAAAAACGAATTTTGCAATATATTTTAATTAGTTGATTGACGGCATTTGAAGTTCACCTTAGCTCCTCTTTGAACTAATTTAAATTCTTTATGTATAAAGATTTATTATCTTAAATTTTAAAAAATTTATTTTAGTTATTCTGATTTAATAAACAAATTTAATTATCAAGCAAAAGGAAAAACAATTAATATACTTACTGAATGTCTAAGATAATATCTTAGATATTCAGTAAGTATATTAATTAATTAATAATAAACAAATTAATTATTTAATAAACAAATTTAATTATCAAGCAAAAGGAAAAACAATTAATATACTTACTGAATGTCTAAGATAATATCTTAGATATTCAATATAAAAATTTGTTTCCGATTTAATTTTTAATAATATAATAATCTACTAAATTATGTTCTTGACAACACGTCATATTATTATATTGTGACCAATTGCAGGAATCAGATATCATGTAACTATTAGATAATTTTTTAATTATCGGTATTGTCTTTGATAGCATGACATAACTGGGGAGTGGTTTCTCCTATACGTTGTAATTTGTTTGTATCTATTACGGTATGATTGTGAACTCAGGCGTGAACATTGCTAACGGCGGCGCTGGCGGCTCGACGACCTCGTGATTGATGTGTAGAAAGTTTCCAAGTGATTGGGCGTTACATGCAGCTATTACTACTTCATTGGCTTGTTGTTGCTTCGATTAGTTCGATACGCTTATAGCCTTGACAGCTAGGGTTTTGTTTATTTTCCTTTTAGCTCGTGTCATTAATTGTGATCCAGAAAGCTTGGGGAATATTGAATCTTATCTGTTCGTTGACGAAATTATGTTTTGATTATTTTTGTTATATACAACGTTATCCTTATTCAACTATATGTTATCTTTTACGTTTTATGTATCTACTTAATCTAAATAATTAAAATCACATATAAAACCGTTCAAATCTATATAACTAGTAGTATTAATTAAGCAGATAATTCCGCTTTGAAAGTAAATGTTGATACTATGAAGTGTTAATAAAAATACATTTTACCTTATACAGTTTGTCCTTTTGATACCACACATCTTCCTCTTCCTCTACTTGGGTAGCGAAAGCCTGTGTAAGGTCGTCGCGGGAGCGCGATAAGATTCGACGTCGTGACACCATCTCCCCACCCGTCGCCGCGTCAAACGGGCCCAGACTGGAACAAAAATAAACAGTTCAATTTGCGCACAATAAAACCAATTTACTATAAGACATTCTAGGAAAGTGTACGAATTGAATGATAACTCGTTCAAAAAATCGGTTTTGCCGTTTGGGCTACAGAATGTCCCAAAGAAATGGTGCAACGTCGATTCGAAACATCAGCCTAATTCTAAATCAGATTGCTTATATTAAATCGTTTATTATTTTTACAAGTTGTTGTTGGCTAAAAGAAGTAACAATAGCTTTTGGCAAGTAAGAAGGAAGAATAATATACGTCGCTCGTCGTTGCGTGATAGGATTCAGTGACATTTTATAATGATGAATTCATTAGAAACGTATTCTAGATCATTTTGAATTGTCATATTATGTAAATCTACTTCCGTGTATTTTAAATATCAAAGTTAACATTCAAGATTTATTCGTGCCATAATTTTAATCAGTTTCATCAAATTTATTGACAGCATTCTACAAATTATGCTTTTATATACAGATGTTATTATTTAGATAAGATGATTCTTGTTCTTGAAACCCCAGAAAAACGTGTAAAGATCCTAAAAATTAAACAATCCTATATTATATTATACAATTAACCTATATTAACATACTGCGATACATATAATGTCAACAAAAAAGTAAAAAAAGACCGCAAAATACCTATACAAATCATTAGGAACGTAAAAATCTGTGTAACCATTAAGACAACGGAGGAGTGGGTTGCGTCTTTTATATCAAAGGCAACAAAGCGATAGTTAGCACCGCTTCCTTCCGAGACTTAACAATGTGTGGCATTGGATTCGGCATTGGGGATCGTGGTCCGTATCTAACAATCGCCTCCGACGTCCTCCCATTCATCTGATACATTACGTCGTTTGTTTACGTCTCAGATGCCCGCTGCTCTAACGTCAATTAGGCATTTGCAGACGTAGCAACATTAGTTGCAACAAATGTTATACTTTTAATAGATTATAAGTTGCCTATTATAATATTAGCACGGTTTATATTTGCTGCAATTTTATGACAATTCGCATGGAGCATGCTGAAGAAAAATATGGTGTTTTAACCTGCACATAACTGCGAAGAAGTTTCAAAGATATGTGTGAAGACAACCAAACTGCACCAGGCCAACATGGTTGACTATGGCCTAGTCACCCATAAATTAGGGCTCCGAGCCCCTTAGTTGGGAGGTATAATGAGCTGATGATGATAATGCATGGAGTATGTAATGAACTGGACTGGTCAGACGACGGAAAATAAATTTCTTTACATACAGATACACAATGACAATTATTGCAATAATAATGAATATCTTAACCAACGATCGTAGTAAGTGAAAGCAGTTGCCTATCGTCAGAATTCGCAACTGAAGTCGATACGCATGCTCAGATTAATGGACATAAATGCTGTTGTCTATTGAGGCAACAGTTGCAGTATTCCAAAGCGCCTTATTGCAAAGCGAGTTGTCGAAGAAGGTGTTATGTTGATAACATCTTTCGCGCATTTGCTTGTATCTGCTTGTTTTCTAACGCTTGCCTTAGTAGCCCGTATTGTACTGTCACTGGTCTATTCAGGGCGTTTATTATAGGATTTCAGGAAGTAGATCGTTCTTTGATATATTCGATTTATTTTAGTAGCTTCGCGGTCTCTGTGAATCCAGAAGTCCAATTAGTATGTTTTTAGTCCTATTTCTAGAGTTATTTCCACTTTTAACTAAGTCATAATTAGATAATATAACCATCAAGAGAAAATTTACAGATAATTTTCTGTAATGATTGTTTGGTAAAAGTAAAATGATAAACCATGATATTTTTTATTCAATGACATATAATAAAAGCAATTACTCTTTCGTGACTAAAATAGTATTACAGATACAAAGGTAGGTACAAGGCTCTTGGATAGTAACATACGTTGGTATTTAAAATTATTATTTATGGATGACATTTCCTTTTAAATAAATAATTTACAGATATTTCTTATAATTAATCATACAAGATTTACAGACGGATGTGATTAAAGTAATTTTAATAAAGCCTTTGGAGAGAAAAAACAATTAATTAATATTGGACAATCGACCTTTTGACTTTCACTGTTAATTTTATTACAAACTAGCTGTCGCCCGCTACTCCGTCCGCGTGGATATAAAGAACTTAATTAGTGTAGCCCACCCATCCATCCTTCCTCATCACATGCATCTAAACATTCGCATTTATAATATTAGTAAGTTAAATAAAAATGGGGCTCTTCAAGGCATAAATTGGAAAAAAAAAATGAATAAATAGTATACTATGTCCGATTCCTGGCTCTAAGCTACCACCTCATCAATTTTCAGCCATATCGGTAAAGCCGTTCTTGAGTTATAGTGTAACTAACACAACTTTATATGTATTTACTAGTTAATTTCGATTCAACTTTCGATATAATATGAGACATTTTTTTATGAGATGTTTACTTATCAATTTTCCGTCACTACTTACGCTTAAAAATGAGATTATAAACGCAATTTTTTTACGGCACTACTCGTATAAGGAAAAATATGCTGGATGTCGTGTTTACAAACTATTCTTTGTTTAAAAAAACATTCAAACGAATGCGTGCTTCACTACGCGTGCATTTGTTGAAAATGAATTACAAACGCGAGTTTTCCAGATTATAATGAGAAATATACACTAAGGGACTCCCTTTGTGATCAATTAACTAATGATGCAGTTCATACTATATTCATTCAAGTCAAACATTCATAAAAAGATATCCTCTTTGACGTTTGAAAGTAATAAGACATTATAAGCCGCATTACAGAGTAGCGTCGGTGGGCAATGGGCCATAACATTGTGACGCAGCGGTTTGTTCTAAAAATAGAGCAAAGAACGGACACCGCGCACGTGTACCTACTTATTAACTTACTCTTTGATTACCTCGTAGTTATAGGACGGCCTCTCGGATGCCGTAAATGTAAATTCCAAAGCGAACGAATCGAGAAAGCTATGTTTTAATAGTTTAGTATGCATGTAGAAGGAAGTAATGGTTTTTTTACTTTTTTGATAATTTTAGTTAATAGTAAAATGAATGTGCATTAAAAGGAAGTACAAGTACCAGCAAATTGGGATGACAGTCATTTTCCATTCATGTATCTGTTGTGATAGTTAATAAAAATTTTCTTTCTACGTTATCAATCTTACTTCTTCAATTTCATATTTATCTATATACTATTTGTCACACGGGACTCTGTCCACGCGGAATCAAAAAAAATAATAGGCCATATGTTCCTCCAGACTGTGTTCTACATCTATGCCAAATTTCAGCGAGATCCATACAGCCGTTCTGGCGATTCCTTCTAACAAACATTCATCCATCCAAATATTCGTATTTATGATATTAGTAAGATTGTTATACGTCCAATTTTGGTATAAACGTTTAATACCATTATCACAATTATGCGATTCTATTTGTGTAATTAATAAACATATTTCATTTATCGAATTAAATTTAAATAAAAATGTAATATACGTATGCAATTAATCTTTAAATTGATAGCTCGCAATTGCATTATATCATCGTGGTGGCGGGTCTTTGGCCGCGGTACAGTTATGCTAAGATGACGTCACAGGCGAGGGACCTGTTTACAAGGAACTCGCGACGCTGACCTATATCGACAGGTGGCGCGTGAGGACTTAACTGTGTATCAATATCGAGAAGATTAAAGTCGTAGGGATGTCATTTATAAAAGACATTTCAAAAAGAGCATATTTTTTTTTAATTAAATTTATTAATGAATGATTTCAATAACTACTGATTACACTTAGAGTAATTAAAAATTAAAATAAAAAATATAAGTCTGAATAAAGCTATAATAATAACTTTTGGCACAAAATTATAAATATGTAAAATTATAAAATTGAATACGAAAATAATTACTTTCAAATTAAAAACATTATTTGGTACTTATCTTATACAATTGCGAAATAATATATGTAACATTATATACATATATACAATCGCAACAATTTAACGTAGTTACATTTAGCGATGAGTTGAAATATTGACCTAGTGTAACAATTACTTGTAAGTCATTGTGCGCAAAAACGTTTCGAACACAACCCGGCCGTCCCGTTACCTATGCTAGTTATCACGGGAGACGCTAGCGATGCGATGCTTTTATTTTCTTTTAATATCGTGTCGACATCTTGATACCGTAATTACAACGAAGGATAATATAACGTCATTTTATCGTTCGGTAACTTATCGATCAATGAATGATTTGATTATTTTTTGATAATCACAAATATAGTGTTTGCACATTTCTGGGTTATTTTATTTACCTCTTATTTAATTTTGTAACTTTTTCGCTCATTATAATCAATAGAAAAAAAACTAGGAAACACATCCTCATACTTTAACAAACAACTAGTTGTCGCCCGCGGCTCCTTACGTACAGTAATAGCGAAAAATTAGTAAGTATCCTGGGTGTCCTTCCAGACTATGATCTACATCTATGCTACATTTCAACGAGATCCGTTGAACCGTTTTCGTGATACTTTCTAACAAACATCCATCCATCTATACATTCAAGCTTTCGCATTTATAATATTAGTAAGATCACAGTTACTTAGAGGCAAGTACGTTTATGTTACAACACACCGAATTTTAGTAAAAATTGAGCGAACATTCTCAACAACTACTTTCCAAGTCAAATTACAACGTGCTCGAGATCCTAATAGCATTCATCTATTGTACTCAGCGCCGAAAGAATGTAGATCTTACATACATTACACTTTTAAAATACAAATTCAGTTATTCTCCCTCAACACATAAGGCTCATAATTCTCTGAACTATTTTTAAAGGCGAAGTTCTTTTCGATGATTGGTCGCGTTCCATTTTTAAATAAGCATTTGTTAAGCAAAAGGCATTTTCGCAATGTGTGTTCTTAAAAATTCTACGACTAAAATAGAATATGACACCATCAATATATTGTTAAGGTCACGGTCAACTTTGAACTATCG